AAAACAACCAAGCTCAGAGAGCACCAAGGACTCCACAGTTCAACCCTGAGCTACACACATTTGCTTCTATAGCCTGAGATTGACCTGAAAAGAACAACTCCTAAGGCAAAGGGCATCCACAGTTAGCAGCAGCTAGCCAAGATTGGTTGGTCTGGGAAGCAAAGCAGGGCCAACGCTAGTTAGCACTTGAGTAGGGACCACTTGGGGATCCCAAGACTGGGGAATCTAACTTAGATCCCTCCAAGAGGAATGCAACCGAAGTCTCCTTTTGTAAGACTGCCAATAAAACTGCAAAATGAAGTCATCAGGAATTGAGCCTGACCTGAGGTCATCTTTACGTAATTTTGCTTGAAGGAAAAATGCTTCAGGTTGGCAGACGCAGTGATAGTGAAAAGCTGAGGAGAAATACATGCAAAAGAGATTATTTGGCTTATGCACCAATTAGGGGAAAAAAAGTAATGCAAAAGTATATGTGTTCTTACCTGCTGGCATGGATAACGGAAGCTGGCTGGGAAAGAAGTGGGGAGGTCCATCTGAGCAGCAAAAATGAGAGTCTTTTCTGGATGGAAAATATCCTCCCCCAAATCCTGAACTTCTGGATCTCTACTCTGGAGGAATTTAGTAAATTATAATAAAACAAAACCAAGTTGTCATTTTAGGCTGGCCCATCAAATTGGGGGAATCCTATTCTGACAGTCAGAAAGCCTTTTCCCATAATGCTCTCCATCCTTTCTTGATTCAACAAAAAAAATATACCTGGGCAAAATTTGCTGTCCCATTAGTGATGGATCCCGTTCCTGCCTTTATTGCCTTTGTTGTGGTTGGTTGCAGAGTGCATAAAGCAAAGTGATCTGTTTAACCATCAGGCCATGCTGCCCATGCCCACTTCTCAATCTCAGCAGCCCGCCAATCATAACAAGGGAGCAGAGACAGGGCAGAGTTTGCTGTCCACTATCTGATGCCTTTGTGATGGTTCATCATTAGCCTTTCCCAGTGTGATCCTCTTCAAACCCTGTTGATAACCAATCCATTTAACTTCTTGTGATGCTTGCCATAAAGGACACAGGCTGACATTTAAGAGGGTTAGCACAAATAATCTTTTAAATTTCTCTGTTGAAAGCAACATCCTGGCTGATCTGACCTGAATGTTCACTGGAAGATCCCGTCTCTGATAGCTTAGATGAGAGGGCAAAGACATTAATGGATTGGCAGGATGAAGTATTGTCTATTTAAGCATATGCAACATGCAACTGAAATGCCATTTAACAGTTTTGCAGCTGGGGTGCTCAGGTACACAAAGAGAAGCTGAGTCTCCTTGCAGCCAATCGTTATTAACACTTAAAATGAAACCTACCGATGAGTTCAGCTCCCTTCACTCACCACCAGCATTGCATTGGCTTTCAAAGGGAAAAAGGGACAGAAAAATTCTCGCTTACCTGCCTAGGCTCTCCTAATCTTACCTCTAAGCAAGTATCTTCCCAGGGACCTTGGGAAACACACCATCCTCTTATTATAACTAGGCACTGGAGTGGGACTGCCACTATGTTCAGCAGGCTTGTGAAGTTTTGAGAGACCTCCAGAGCCATGCTCAACAGGAGAACATGGGCCTGGTGGTCTTTCAAAACGCTGCACCTCCTCAAAAATGCTGAAGGCGGTGGCAGCTCTGCCTGAGTTTCAGTAATGGAGGGGCTTCTCCTATGCCTTTGATGAGTTGGAATGGATTTCTGCGGCATAAAGTTACCTTTAACACATAGAACAAACGTTGTGGGAGCTTCCCAAGAAGCAGAAACTATATTTTAATTAAATCAAGGGCGAACACTTTTTTGTTATGAAATCATCCCAAGTGAACTCACTCCATTAAATTATTCCATTTGAAGGAAACAAACAGCTTCAGGGCTCTTAAATCCTTTGTTGGTCGAACACAAATTATAATTTCATGAATTGCTTCATTCTACCACAAAGCTACACTTATTAGATATTCAGTGGCGACACTGAGAGCCAAAGGATTGTGCTGAGGGTTTTCTGGGTCTTGAGCCAAGTGCAACCCTATACCCTGTTAACTGGCTTCCCTTCTTTTCCATTTTCTCTTTAGTTCCCTAGGTGTGGTTTTTTTAAACATTTTTCTTAGATTAGTTAGATGTAAAGCTCTCTATTACACATTCCTTCCTTGCAACATCATGGCTTGGATCCGGGCCCTCTAATAATGGCTTAGACAGCCGGTCAGTGTCCTCTCATTACCTATCATGTCAGAACCGTTTGGTAATGGGTCTTTTGGTAGTTCCTGGAGTTACTGCTTTTCACAATTGTTCCGGCAACCAGGTTGAATACTTTTTCTTTTATATTGGTAACCAAAAGCCAGTTCTTAAGTATGCAAGGCCAATTAGAAAAAGATGGGTTTTTTTGTCTTTCCCCTTCTCTAAAACAAGATCCATATATCCACTCGGACTATATTTCTTCTTTTTCCTTTTGAAATTGCTCTGACTTCATTACTTCTGCCCCAGTCTCTGTCAAGAGTCCCAAGTCTTCACCTTTCCAGA